CTAAAACGACCAAATCGTAACCCTATCCCAGACAAAAATGATACCCTATCCCAGACAAAATGTCAAAAAATGATAGTCTACCCCAGACCCAAAAGCCCAAAAACCATACCCTATAGGGCGGCACATACCCGTATAGCAAATATAGGGGAGTACCCCCCCCCCCCCTCCCCGGGATCATTGCCAATGTCGCCATCTGCACCAAAGGCCATGCACCATATCGACAATGGGCCCCAAAGTAGGCCTATATCGATAACAAACATCATCAAATGCCAATTTAAATCATCACATTCATCATTGCCATTGGTATCAAGCATTGGATGAACTCGATCATCAACACATGCTGTCATGACGACCAGCAGTGTTACTATTACCATGCATCACCTCACTATATACCATGCACTRTAGCCTTTACAACCACCAACTAAATCATTAGTATATATTACCACACTACCATCATATACTTCAGTTTTTATGGTATAAGAATCTACAACTTCTTTAATGTATTAATTGTTTGATACACAGGAAGAAAGAATGTACAAGAAAGAATCGGGTAAGTCAACTATTCACGATGTAYGTACGTTATATAAAATATCATGTTTCTTTTCTTTGAGCGGGAACTAATCCTTGCTGGACAAAATTATTTCCATCTGTACAACTTACATACTGTTAGGACATCTTTGTTTATGATTGCGCCGGCATTTACGAWTTGATAGCTATTTTCATGACCTTCCTAAATTTATTTCGTTCCTTGCAGACGAGGGTTGTATACTCTGTCTCAAGACTTCAGTCAAARACGATGAGTGAAACATCTGACAATGTACCAAATCAAGCACCTCGTTAGGTCTGTGCCTGTGTTTGTATGCTATTGAAAGTTTGTGGCGATATGGAATCTTTATGTCGTACAATCAAGTTTACCACCTTGTAAAAGTCACCTTGAACTGATGAACATGAAGCTCAATCTGTCTCACGACTATCCTTGAATTTATATCTACGGTGTACGCCGTTATTAACGCTGTTAGTAACATTCACGATTCATGATAACTTAAATAACTTTACATTTGTCAGTACGAGTAACATCAAGCAATTTCTCTCGTTTCGTTTGCATAGACAAACGTTTTCTCATGCACCTTATTACACGACTAAAGTTAAAGTATACACATTAATAATCAAAATTTGTACAAAGAGAAATAACAAACAATGTAAATAAACAAATGCAAAAATTAATGTCAAAATTAATGTTTGGAAATATCCTGCATTAAGGAAACAGTAAAAGTTAACAGGATCGAGAGGAAGGACAAGCAAAGCTTTGACCCAAGGTTCGTGCGCATGCGGTCTACRTACATGCCTTAACTAAGACCAGATAAATATATCATAGCAGGAGATCTGACAATCGAAGAAAGAAGCGCTTGCTGCGCTCATAAAGTACCGCATGATCAAAAACAAGTTCAAATAAAGCTTTCATTCAAGGTTCGTACGGTCTRCACACAGGCATGCTTTAACTAGTATCAAGGCGCGGACACACGGTGCATCATTGCAAGCAACATTGCACGCAACAAATTTGAATCGGGTAACAAAAGTTGCAACAAAATCACGCTACATCGCATGTGTCAGCCAGCTATGCTTTGAAATTTGGCCAGCGGTTATGAATTTGGTGCAAGCTGATTGGCTGAAAATTTCAAAATTTTGCACGCAATGTTGCAGCCATTTTCACACGATAAAATTTGCTGCGCTCAATGTTGCGAGAGTAGAGMGAGATTCAACTACAGATTTGTTACATACAATGTTGCGTGCAACAAGTTCCACAATGGGTAGACACGATGCAACAGTCTTTTTGCGTGCAATTTTGCACTGTGTCTGCACCTTAATTATCTTCGAGGTTCTATAGTAGGATCATTGACAATGGGGAAAAAAAGAAGAATTCTTTCCAAGACGCCTCTACACCGACATAATAAGAGCATGGCACAGTTGCCAGCTGTTGCCGGGTTCAACCGCTTAGTATATTTATTGCCTGGGGGTTCGGAGGATTTTTGTGCTAACATTACAAAGATTAACTGTTCACTGATCCCCCMTTATTACTGAGTTTTCCCCGCTTTGGTACCTGTACATTTTTAGTTTATAGCCCAAAATCCGGTCTCCATTTGTCAAAATTTTTAGCTTAAAAACCATATGTGATCCCCTAAATATCTCTTGAAGTTGAGTAGAATAAAAGAGTTAAAGGAGTGGAAAGAAAGAAGCACTTTCTCTAAGAGGGCCATGTACCGTCATTACACATGCTGCACAATAGGTCACTTGCATTATAGCTTCATGTATACCAATACCAGAACCCCTTGCACACTTTGTCTTATTCAGTTTATTAGTGTCTTGAGGAAATACGAATTTGAAAATGCAATTTGAGGTCCTTCAACTTCCCTAGGCCTTAAAATTTTAACCTTGCTATATATTGGCTTGTACCTAAACTTTTTGTTTGATAATGCTCCCTTAAACAGGCCCATTATTGGCCGTTAGTCGTTAGTCGCAAAAACCTCTGAACAAACGAAAAATTCCATTTGGGGAAGGGAGGTTGGGGGCTGCGTCTAAATATCTGATGTACTCTAGAAACTCACCTTCTGTCTTAATCGGGTGGTACAATTATTCATCTATAGGATAAAGTGTATTCAGCTCAAATTACTCATTATATTTCGTTTCTTTGACTTACCAAGASGAGAAGAGATTGGGCCAGTGAAAAGGCGCGAGAATGACGTTTGACTATCTGGAGGATGTATCACACTTTTCTCTAGACGATGTATTGCATCATGCATGTCAGTCTTCTGGTCCTCAAGGTTGCATTTGCATGGGGGCTGGGTGTAATGCTATACTGACACTACCCTGTAAAATAAAAAATGAATTGTTAAAGAATCCGAAAGCATGTACCTTACTCACGAAGCAGCCACGTTGGTTTGAACTAAACATTTCTCCACACGTAGCCTCGCATTCAAGTGCTCGAGAATAAATTTGTGCGGGTTAAACAAAGGTTTTTATTCCCATGAACAAAGTGTGACGGCCTCATGCGCCAACTGGCGTGACGCGGGATGATAATATCATGTAATATATAAATTTAGGCACAGCCTAAAAGCGGAGCTCCTCATTGGCACAGGGAGCCCAATTTAGATGAAACTGAAATGTGAAAACATAATCGGGGAAAARAATCTTCAATAATCAATTTTYYATTCGAGATRAAGATAATGWTTCACAAATGAAAACCATGAAGKGAAGAAATCAAATTGAAATGCACTACATCATTTCTTTTGCACGAGTTTTTGTTTTCGACCTTACTACTCTCACATTTAGGAATTTTGTCACATATACACATAACCCACCATTTAAAAGATATTAAAATAAGGGACCATTTATTATTTATGCCAGGAGGTGGGCTGGTTAGAATTAGGGGGGTCACCATAAATTCAAGACCCTCAAGTGGGGGGGGGGGGGCACCAGAAAATATGGAAGCAAATGTGAGGGGTCATCTACTTTTTGTTTTTTTTTTTGTTGTGAGCATCGGTGATCATACTAAATCAGTTTTACAGTTCGGTGAATGTCACCAAGCTAACAAATACAAGCTCAATCCTAGTAATAAGCAAGTATAGTCCTATTTCTTTAAAAARATGTTGTTGTCATGACATAATGTTGATGAAAACAGTGTATTTTAGATATCATTTAGCCTTTTGTTTTCTAATAACTCTCAAATGATAGATGAGCAATCAAACACACCTCACCTTTGTGGCAATTCAGTTGAAGTACCATTCAAGTGCAAAATATTAACTGACATTTGCRCACAGATTTCTTTTGATATAAAGAACCCTTAATAAATAAAAACATATGAAAACAATTATAGCAAGAGATAGCCGTCCTTCTATATTTTCATTAAGTTGTGGTGAACGATATCAATGCATTTCATAGAAATTATAAGTCAAAAATATATTATAGAAAGGAGTTTACATCTTAAATTCGACTCTGCAGTCTATAAACTCCTTTAAATGAAAATTGTTATGTTTTGATTGTTTAGATATTTGAGATATGTG